GGAAATTTTAAGATGTCCGGCCTTCAACGCCCATACTTCCCCAGCCAGCTTTCGCTGGCTGGGGAATTCTGGGAGTTGAAGTCCGGACATCTTCAAGTTGCCAAGGTTGAGAAACACTGTCCTAGATATTCACACACACCCCTTTTTCTTCTTTTTATATGCATTATATCTTTTCTTCTGAATTTTTTCTATCGCTTTTCGATAGATTGTTTGGATGACCCAAGATTTTTCTTTTTCGCTTCCTATTATTTCTCTCTTTGTTTTTTTTTTTTTTGGGCTAATTGCCAAAATGAAAAACCAGTGGTTTTTGAAGAGGGTCTTCCCCCACAGGATGTTTTTGGAGACCCTTCCCCTCCCTTCTCCTTTCAAGCTGCTTCCGCTCTGGGCCGCCTCCCCGGATGGCAGCTCTCCCAAGTGAGCCAGGCAGCTGTTCCCAAAATTAGGGAAGGAAAGGTCAGCCTCGCCATCACTGAGCTATTCTTGTCATCAGCCCGCCCCGAGCGGCTCATGAGCTTCATTCCCCCCCCCCCACTCCCCACTCTTGCTGCCGGCTTGATTCTCCCTGGGGTCCTGCCGGTACCCGGGCCCGTTTCTGCAAGGATGGAGAGACCACCACTCCGACTCGACCGAATTTTAGTCTTTTGAGAAAGAGGAAGTTTGAATGACGTGGGGAGAATAGCTCCCACAGCTAAAATGTGGAGGAAACGGCATCGGGCAAGTGCCAAGGATTACGTGATTGTTCACTTCTCCTCTTCCTCCTCTTCTTCGCTCTCAGGTAAGGCCAGGCAGATGGACTATCTCACACACACACACATAAACCGGGAGGGCTTGAGTCCTGTGCTGGGAGGTAGGTTTCTGTATCGGGCTCAGCAGAGCTGAAACCAGCTGCCGAGATTTGGTGGCATTGCGTCCTGCGTGGCTGGTTGGCGCTTTAACCGCCTTGGCAAGGATTTCATTTGCAGTCGGGGGGGGGGGATGTGAATTCATTCGCGGTTTGACTGATCTTTATATTTTATGTTTATTTTTTCCTCTGAGGTTGGGGTAATAGGACGGGCTGGCACAGAATCACTTGGGGAGCACACTTGCAGCCCGGAACCAGAATTAAATTTCCCCATCCAGCACCCTCCCATCCATCCCCAAAGAGTGCAGCTTGGCTTACTTGCTAAGAGTCGCTCGCTCCTGCTTTTTCTCCCCCCCAGGCAGCCTGTGATTTTTGGGGGGTGCCAAGTTAGATGCCGCCTCTCTGTGTTTTCTTCGCATCCCTTCCAAAAACGCCGCCCTGCAAAACGCTTTGTTGATTGCCTTTCGTTGACGTTGGTTTGGAGACGCTGCCCATCCAGGAATCTTCTTGGATTCCGCTGGCAGTGCCAACCGTGCCCAAGGGACGGACTTTTGCTGAGTCACTTCGCGCCGTCGATTCGTCGGTGCTGGAGAAGGGCCGTTGTTCAAAACTTAGAAAAAAAACCTTGCTTTTTTTTTTTTTCCCCGCCTGGGACTTTGTCGGTGCACCAATTAACGCCACTCAAGGAAGGTGAAATTGCCAGACTAATCAGAATAATACATTTGCATGATGTTGGTATGAGTTTCCTTCTGATTTTGCCAGTTTCACCCACACGCCGGCTCTCTCCTGTTGAGGACTAGACGCATGTTTTAAAACCCGGAGGATTGTCAGTGAAGGGGGAGGGGGGGCATGATGTTGGAAGTGTGTCGTGAGGGAACTCGGCTGGCGTGCGTTAAGTTTAATCCGCCTCGCTTCGCGTTTTGCTCTGTGGGTATTAACAGCATCCCTCGATTGCGCTAAAGCGCTGTATAAAGTCACATTGCTTTCATTTTACCTCAGGGGACTCCGAAGAAGAAGAATTGGGCTTCCTGGAGGTGCCAGTTTCAGATGCCAAACAGCTGCCCGAGTTGGGGCCGATGCCCGAAGGGTTAAACCCTCAGCAGGTTTGTTTAGGGCCCATGGTGGGTAACCTTTTTGTCCTCGCACCCATAATGCAATGCGTGCACGACAAACACCCCCGCACCCTCCCCAGCGCATACGCGTGCGACACCCCCCTGCGCTCCCACGGGCATGCAAACCCCCCCACACACACACACCCATTTTTTGCTTCCAGGTTGGGGCAGGAGGCCTCCCAGGTCCAAAATGGGGGCACCGGGGCGGGGGAGAGTGCGAGCCCCCCTCCGCCCCCCGACCCGTGCTCCATTTTGGGCCTGGAAGGCCTCCCGCACCAACCTGGAAGCTAAAACGGGGTGCGTGGCACTGCACGAGCCCCAAAATGCAATGTGAACGCTCCCTGGGCATGCACACACGGGTCCCCCTCATGCGCCCCCCCTCCCCCATGCATGCGTGGCAGGGACCCAAAGACCAGCTGGCTGGTGGGAGGCGTGCACGCATGCGCGGTGGAGCGCCGGCTGGCGTGCCACAGAGGGGTCTCTGTGTGCCACCTGCGGCCCAAATGCCACAGTTTCACCATCCTGGGTTTAGGATGTCGAACCTGACATCTAAATTTGGTCGAACTGGCTTCTTGATTTGGGGTTTTGGGGCCCTCTTCCTGACAAGGGCCCGGTCCGCCGCAAACCAACCCTCCAGGGGACGTTTGAGGTTTTGAGGCAAACGCTACCGAGCTGGCGAATCGCCTCCTGTGGCGGGGAGTTCCACAAGCTGCCCCCTGTGGGCTTAATTCTGTGCCTCTCTTTTTTTTTTTTCCTCCCAGGTGATACGTCGTCACATCCTGGGCTCCATTGTGCAAAGCGAGAGGAGTTATGTGGACTCGCTGAGACGCATTTTACAGGTATTTTGTCTTTTTTTTCTTTTGACTTCTTGAGAGGAGATGCTCTCTGGGTGCCCCTTTGGCCAAGGGTGGGAAGCCACATCTCACATCTTCTGGTTGATTCTGGTTGTAATATAGGTAATCCTCAACTTACAACCACAATGGACCCCAATATTTCTGTTCTTCAGTGAGACGTGGGTTGTGAGGTTCCTCCCCTTTTATGACCTTTCGTGCCGCAGTTATTAAACGAATCACCACGTTTATTAAGTTAGTAACGTGGTTGTTAAGCGAATCTGACTTCCCCATTGACTTTGGTCGCAAAAGAGGATCACATGAACCCGGGACGCTGCAACCCGTCATAAACACGAGTCAGTTGCCAAGCATCAGAATTTTGATCATGTGACCATAAGCAGTTATATGTGCGGGAAAACAGTCATAAGTCATTTTTTTCAGTCCTTTTGTAACTTGGAGCGGTCACTATATGAATGGTGGTAAATCAAGGACTATCTGTACATCGATATCATCTTCTTTTAATGCCCCCATAATCCTTTGTGGGGTGGAGTCTGGGCAACTGAATGGAGATGAATGTTGACTGGCCAGATGCCCTCCCTGTTGCAAGTGCAGAGTTACATTCAGCAGCTATATTCTCATGGTGCCCAGAGAGAGAAATATTTGCCTCTTCCTAGGATCGAGCTCACAGCCTCCTGATTGTGAGGCAAGGGCTCCCCCTCTAGGCCATCACACCACTCTACCTGTACACCAATATGATAACCCAAAAGATGGATGAGTCATCAAGAGTGTCTCCTGTCCCCTTCCGAAACAGGATTATAGGAACCCCTTGATGGAGATGGAGCCCAAAGTCCTCAGTGCCAGGAAATGCCAAGTGGTCTTCTTCCGGGTCAAAGAGATCCTCCAGTGCCACTCCATGTTCCAAATCGCCTTGTCTTCACGGGTGGTTGAGTGGGACTCCATGGAGAAGATCGGTGACCTCTTCGTGGCCTCGGTGAGCAATTGATTAGACGTGGAACATGGCGGCCCGTCTCAAAGATGTGACTTCTCCGAACCTTCTAGGGGACTCTAGAAGTGAATCTTGGGGTCTCACTGTCCTCCATTTCTTCTCCAAAGTTCTCCAAGTCCATGGTCTTGGATGTGTACAGTGAATACGTCAACAACTTCACCAGTGCTATGTCCTTAATCAAGAAGGCCTGCATGACCAAACCAGCTTTCTTGGAGTTCCTCAAGGTAAGAAGAATGGGCATCACAAAGGCCCTGGACCCTGGGGCAAGACCCATCAAGGGGTTATTCTTAGTTTAGTGGCCATAGAGGTTTATCCATCAACCTGGTTTCTCCAGATAGATGATGGCTATGGTGTGGCCCGACAGCGGCCTGCAGAACTGGCAGCAGAGTCAGACAGTGAGAAGGTTGGGGAGGAACATGGGCCACTCCTGGGAGCTGAGGAACGCTCAGATGAGGGCTCTGCGTTGGAGGCAGAGAGGGAGCTAGACAGCAGCGAGGCAGAGGAACAGCTGGAGCCTGTTCCCAGTGTGCGCCTGCACAGAGCTGCCAGAAGGCAAGAACAACTAAAAAAACAGGGTCAACTTGGGAGTTAAGCCACACCTTGGAGATGATTGGCCCCTCCATAGGAAACAAAAGAGGAGCGAATGGGGAGGGGGCTTTCGCAGGAAACAATTTGTTCCTTCGGTCGGTCCAAGAGTGGAAATTTTGTTTGTGACTATAAGAGACTCTGTGCCAAGTTTTGCCTTGTCCTGCATTTGGAAACTAGTTATCTGGCAGCTCTCCAAACGAGATAAAGTTTGTGTGGATAAATATTCGTCGGAAAGACTGTTTGCTAAGCCTTGCTGGCTGCGAATGGAAGGAATTCACAGTCGTGTAAATAAAAGGGTTTTTTGCCAGGATCAAAACTCCACTTCTTGCTTGTTAAGGAAGCCATGGGCCAGAACAGGTGATCTCTTCATCTCTTAACTTATCTGAAGTATTCTGCTGTCCTTGAGGTTTCTGCTCTTGAGAAGGGAGATAGTTTCGATAGTTAGGAAAGCAACAACCGAAATGAAAGATAATTGGATTCGTTAACTAATCCATTCTGCGGCTAAATTGCATTTGAATATGAATGCGTTGTGAGGTTCTAATGGGGATAATGAAAAATTGTGTTTGCTTCCTGCCGTTGAGTTTAGAAGTGTAACAATTAATAATTTGGGTCTAATCCCCTGCTTCGTTCAATTTGAGTCGGGGGGTTTTGGGGGGGTAAACAATGGAGAAATATTGCAGAATTGGACGCAGCTGAAGAATTCCTGGATCCAAAACCCACTTCAGGTTACAGGTGTAGAGTAGAATGGTTTTTATTCCGGTGATGGCGAACCGGCGGCACGCAGAGCCATCTCTGCAGGCACGCAAGCCATTGGCCCCACCCAGTCTCTTCGTTCATGCTGCGCACGCCTCCCGCCAGCCAACTGGTCTTTGGGTCTCTGCCACACATGCGCGGGGAGGGCAGGGCACTCTTGTTGCATTTTGGGGCCTCGCATGGCGCCCCCATGCCCCATTTTGGCTTCCAGATTGATGCAGGAGGCCACCTAGGGAGGGGTGGGTCCCTGCTGCCATTGCTACTGATTCGGTGCCTGAAAAACTTTGCACTCGAATGCAAAAATTTTGCTCACACGCAAGCCAAATGCGTCCTCCTTGCGGGTGCGCATTTTCACATTAAACGTTCTGCGCATGTGCAAACCATTAAAAAGGGGGTGGGGGAATTACATTTTTTTTCAATGAAGATTGTCCCGCCCATGTGCCGAACAGAAAACTGAGATGGCGCCGCCGAGGATAGAACCGGTATGGTGACGTGTCCGCCGGAGTTACTACCTAAACGGCTGAACCGTATTGTACTGGTAGGAACCCACCTGTGTTTCCAGGCCCAAAACGGGGCACGGGGAGCCTCATGCTGTCGCCCCCCCTCCGCAACCCATTTTGGCCCTGCAAGGCCTCCTGCATCAACCTGGAAGTAAAAAATGGGGGAGGGGGCTGCATGCACGGGGGAGCTCCAGGGGGGGGATCACATGTGCATGCAGGGGCAGGGAAAATGGGGGTTCGCTTGCGCCTGCGTGGGGGCAGGTGCGCAGGGCGGGTGTTGCACACAAATTGCATTATGGGTGTGGTCGTGCAGAATGTGCTGTTGCGCACGCTTTTGGCGCGCCGCGAGAAAATGGTTGTCCATCACTGAATTATCTTGAATTCATTCAGTTGGCAAGGTGGGGTTGTGGATGGTCGTAGAGCAGAATTGACGTTGAATAGGACGAGCCTCGCTGAGATGGGACCACGCCATGAAGGGCCCACCGATAACATTGGAGAAGGAAGAACAGAGGTTTTCACATCTCAACCGAGCCATTATAACTTCCTTTTTGCAGAAGAAACAGATGGCCAGCCTTGACCGAGTCACCCTCTACGGCTTGATGGTGAAACCCATTCAAAGATTCCCCCAGTTTATTCTTCTGCTCCAGGTACCATTTTTGTTTTCTCGGGTTCTCGAATTAGGGGAAGACATCTAAATCTGTGACGACCCCAGGCATGGCACAGAGGCAGCACAGTCAGCTGACAGTTCAAACCGCCCCTTTATTGCTCCAAATGTTACCCAAACACTCCCAAATTTCTGGCAAGACCCTGCTGTGGCCCACCGGCGACCAGCGGAACTGAGAGCAAAGTCGGGCAGTGAGGAAGTTGGGGAGGAACATGGGCCTGTCCTGGAGTCTGGGGAAGACTCAGACGAGGGCTCTGCGTCAGAGGCAGAGAGGAAGCCAGACAGCAGCGAGGCAGAGGAACAGCTGGGAGCCTGTTCCCAGTGTGCACATGCGCAGAACTGCCAGAAGACAAGAACAACTAAGAAAGCAGGGTCGTCTTGGGAGTTAAGCCACACCTTGGAGGTGATTGGCCCCTTCCATAGGAAACAAAAGCGGAGCAAAGGGGGAGGGGGCTTTTACAGGAAACTATCCGTTCCTTTGGTCGTTTCAAGAGTGGAAATTCTGTTTGTGACTATAAGAGACTCTGTGCCAAGTGTTGCCTTGCCCAGCGTTTGGAAACCAGTTATTTGGCAGCTCTTCAAATGAGATAAGGTTTGTGTAGATAGATATTCCTTTGAAAGACTGCGTGCTAAGCCTTGCTGACTGTGAATGAAGGGAATTCACAGTCGTGTAAATAAAAGGGGTTTTGTCAGGACCAAGAGTTTGCTCCTTGCTTTCTAAGGAAGCCTGGGTCAGAACAGTCCCAGAGCAAAGTGATCACACACACACACACACACAAACACACACCTCCAGCAGCCCCTGGCTGCAAGTAGTCCAGCACAATACTGTGAACACAACGGCTGAAAAACAAGAAATCCAGTAGGGCAAGGGAATAAGTAAATTAGTTCAGGAAGCAAAG